TGAGGGACAAGATGGTGGCAGTCTGACGAAGGACTATAGCAATAGCCCTTTACATCGCTTTAAGAAGCCTGGGTCTAAAAGCTTCCAAAATGTTTTTCCTCCATCTGCCACCCTGTATCTCTCCAGCGTCCCGTGAGTACCTACATGTGTGACCTTCCTGGAAAGGTGTTCCTAGGTTACAAAGTCTGAGACAAGCTTTACATTTCCTAGGACTTCTACAGTTTTTGAGAATTTGGGTCATTCTGCTGTGCAATTAATATGTGAATATTTTAACTGTCACTTTTTTTATTTTTACCAAAGAGCTGATTGAATGCTCTTTGAGTTTTAATACAGTTTGTTTTCCTTGAGACTGTGCTTTTGTTTTTCACCTATTAAGTTTTGTGTTATAAATTTTTGCAAAGATTAAAGACATCGTTTTTGAAATAAAGTACTGGAGTTACATTACATCAACTGTGTCATTGGAACCAATTTTTAATGTAGATGCACTTTTGAAAGAATAGTTTCTACAGAATTCAGACCTTTTTCATAGAAAGGAAGTTGCTTTTAAAATATGAAGTATGTCCTTTAAAACTGAAACAACCTTTTTTTCTATTTAGAGTATTGTCAACAATGTGTGGAGTAACAGCCAAACATAAGTTGTTTCAGGTTTCTTTTGTTCAGCAGCTGTGCAGGGAGGGAAAAAGGAAAACTATGGGATATAACAGACAGAATTCTTTTTTGGTTTTTTTTTTGAGGAAAATGGAAAACGGTCAAAATTGAAAATATGATATGCACACTCACAGTAATTACAAGATGGAAAGTATTTTTGCAAATAGCGGTTGACATCTTTAGTGATTTTTATGCAATCTGAATTTAACTGGAGGAGGATGAAAAGCAGTAGAGTATCTGAAGTGTTTTTGTAGCACAATATGGTGCTAAATCTTGGTGTCAAAGCCAAGATGTTTGAGCTGAAGTGTTGACACAGCTTGAGTTGGTAAAGATGTTTTTTGCTGTTCACATTTAATTTAAAAGCCAGAATTGAGACCATGATACTATTACAGAATTCTGTGCTCTTTTACAAGTTGATGGAGTTTTGTTTTGGGTTGGTTTGTTTGTTTTTTAATAGGTCTTCTGTTACTGAAGATGATCTGAAGAAACTTTTTGAAAGTACAGGATCAACTGTGAAAGCCATCAAATTCTTCGAGTAAGTTCCTATAAAAATGCTGAACAGACTTTCATCCTGGAAGATGGCTAATTGCTTTTTTTAGGGAAATTCCATGTGTATATAATGATAGGCAAAATTCCATGGGTGCATATCTCTAGGCAAAATCTGTACAGCTATGACAAATTTTATAATTCTGATCTTAAGATTTTAAATGGGATACTATGTTAACATAGTAAAATGAAAAATATTCAGCCTTTTTTACAAATTCCGCGTGTTCAAAGTGAGATAATTTTAAGGGAAGTAAATACTTGCTTCCTTAAAAAGAAATACAAGCTGTGTATATGTAAAAATGTCATGCGAGAGATGACAGTGAATCTGCTCTAACATTCATCAAGGTTCTTTGGCAGCATTATTTTAGCATGACCATACCTGCTAGAATAATCCCATATGTGTGGACCATACAGGTGTTTCTTAGAGGCCTTCGAGCCTCATTTCAACCTGTTTTTTGAATTGCAGTATAATGGAAGAATGGCATGGCTGTAGGCCATTGATCTGCAAAACTTGTTTAGTTTTGTTTTCTCCTCATTTTAGCGTGTACATAACTAGTTCTGATTTTTTGGCTGCACAAATTTAAGTGTGTGTTTTGTGGCTGAAAAAATATTTGCTTCGCTTTTCAATGTTGGCTAGTGCAATGGAAATTTGCTTAGGATTAATAACGGTTTTTACTGTACTTCAGGAAGTATTACAGAATGGCCCTTGTCCAGCTGAGCTCTGTGGAAGAAGCAGTTCATGCTCTTATTGAGCTTCACAACTATGACCTTGGAGCAAACCATCGCCTCCGAATTTCCTTCTCAAAATGTGCAATCTGACTTTTCTGTGAACTTTCCTTTCAAGACTGCATCACAGCTTTAGTAAAAATTCCAAATAGACACTGAAACATCTGTGACCAGCTCTGTCTCTTAAACGAAAAAGCTCATTTATACACAAATAATTAAGTGATGATCTCTTCTGATTTTAGATACCAGTATGTGATCAAAGTTCAATATTCATCCATAGAAAGATTATTCTGTGAAGTTGCTATAGCAGCAATATTTGTAGTCAAATTTCCTACTTAAAATTTTGTTTTGACAACATCCTTTTAGCCTTTGTTGGAAATCAGCCTTTCAAAACAATATAGTAATCTTTTTACAATATACAAAACAAGGCATATATCTAACATACTGGTAAATCTAATCTACAGAGATGAAACACTAATTTGAATGTGAAGTAGTGCTTGGGTTTCATGAAGAAAAGCAAGCACTGACTGCGAGTGTCCTCAAAATAGTATTTGTTATTGAGTTCTGTGCTCATACTTTGGCAAATCTTTACAAACAAATTTTTTAAAAACAAAAGCCTCTGCTGGTAGACTTAGCTTGACTGAACCATAGAATGGAAGTTTGGCACCTTATTTTTACTATGAACAGATGTTGTGTAATAGTACTTTGTAGAAAATAGGACAAGAAAATAATACTGATTTAAAAGAATTTTTGACATTTCTTTAAAGAATTACATGTTTACAATCAAAATAATCAGGTCTATGATGGGTTGACAAGCTTTAAGGTGTTGTTTTTGTTAAGGTCATCTTTGGGGCTAGAAAAACTAAACCCTGGGGGTTTTGTACCACTATAATGTCTAAAATTACTGTGTATTTACTTAATTTCTTCCTATGTGCCTTACTGTGTGCTAATGATACAATAGTTTAGAGTTTTATCTGAAGTGTCTTGAAGAACATATGGTCGGCTTTGTGAAAATCCTCATATTTTTGGAAATGTTTTACTTGATATTTCAAAACGCTTTTTTCATTGGCTATTCTCTGAATTCTAGTGTCTTGTGCTTGGGTATAGAGCGATTGTCTAGAGGTGTGAACGAGGTTTAACTCATTGCGTAATTGTGTGGGGATTCTCCACGACACCTGTAGTTTCACACCCGGAAAAACGCAATAAGAAGCCTATATAAAAAGAGCAAACAGCAAATTCACTCCCATCTAGCTTTTTGAGACACTGGCTCTACCAGAATGCTCTCTTTTGAGTTCATGCATTTTTCTCTCTGTGTTAAACTTCATGTAGAGCTGTCATTCTTTCATTTCTAAGTGTGAAAGTGTTCCATACTGAATGTCCACTTTCCTTTGGAGAATGAGCTGAGATGCAGTTAATCTGGGTGTTCAAAGTACGTATTTGTTGTAAGTTAAGTGTTGAAAGTTAAGATGATTTTTCTTTGCAGTACCTAGTTAACCTAGTCTCTGTTTTACATTGCTGGCAGACACATCGACACCAGTTGAAGAGAATCTTGCCGGACTGGGAATGTTCCTTGTTTGCTGCACATAACTAGTGTATGGACAATGGCCTAATACGAGTCTTTGTCACTGCTCTTAATTACAACTACAGAGGAGAGGAATCGTATTAGATCTGAATGTAACTCTAAAGCAGGAAAAAAGGAACCTTAAATTTGAGAGCTAATATTGGCACATACAGTATCAGGAGCAGTATATGCTTAATGTTTGCTTAGCAGAATAAAGGCACCAGTTAAGGCTAGTTTAGCTCATTCAGTATTCTGCCTTGACTAATTAAAAGCAAGACCATAACCCCTTGTTTATCATAATGTACTGTTAATGATGGCTCAGGACAAAAGGATTAATTTTTATACCTCGTGTTTGACTCAACAGTGCCTGACTGCAAAAGCAGTTACATCTCAGTTCTTGATTCTCAAGCGTGTTGTGAGCAGCACATGTGGTATTTGTGAGGAGATCAGGATTTGGGAATGGGAATATTCTATGGATTCTGATAATGATGTAGGTTGGAAAGGAACCTCTGGAGGCCTTAATCCTGTCTCACTCAGATTAGGACTGGCTTTGAGCAGTTCCTCAGACGATTGTCCAATTCAGTTTTCAGTATTCCAGGAATGGATATTTCACAGATTCTGTTATTCTCACTGTTCCAGTGTGTTCCCTCATGGAGAATTTTTTTCCCCAGTGTATAACCAAGATTTAAACATACTGCATCTATGTCTGGTGCCTCTTGTTCCATTAACTGTGCAGCTCCCAAGAACATCTGGCACCATCTTCTCTATACTGTGGCCTTAAATTGTTCAAGAGATTTAAGTAATTTAATTTCTTGAATATAGTTTCTTAATTTCTGTTTAAATCATTCGTGAGGGTCTTCGTAATGTGCCTAGTGTAACCTGGAAGTTGTACTCTGAAACTAGTGGTTATATCCTAACTGCAGGTGTGGGAAACAGCTGAGGGTAGAGTTCTCTGCCAATGTTTAAGCTCAACCCACCAATCAGCTCTGGGTTACCTCTAGTTCCATTTTTGTTTTGGATGCACGAGATCCAGTGTAGCAAGACCTTTCTAACAACCCAAGAGTAGCCTAGTGCTTTTTCAAACAACCTGTGATTTGTTGTGTAATGTTGCCAAAAACCTTTTGCTTCTTTGAATGCCTTCAAATACCTTTGAAGACCAGAACAAATTTCTGAAACTCTGATTCATCATGTGACTTGGTTGCCTTGTCTGCTGCTCCTGTCAGTTGCACTAGTTTTTGTGCACTGGTAGATTGAGGTCCTTTTTATGCCCGAGATATGTGGGTTCTGCCATGAAATACGTTGTCCCCCTCTGATTCACGTCAGGAGGAAAGTCCGGAGTTCTCTTTTTTTTTTAAAAAGGGACGTGGACCTACGACTTGTCAGTGTATGCTGTCAGCTCATACTGCTGTTTTTCAAATGAGATGTCAACTGCTTTCAAAAAGCACTCTTTTACCTTTACCTTTTTGCCCTGCTATGATGTTGTTAACTAGAGCAGAACTCCCATGGTTAGTGCTGTTACCGTTCAGCGGAAAGGGCACCGGGCAGACTGCACAGAAATTTTTTCTCTAAATTAACTTTTATCCTCTAACTGTCTTCTAAAGATTTGTTTGCTATGTACAAGACTGTTTGTGTGCTCTTTGCGAAGTAAATCCAAACAGTCAAGAATTGTGAATTACTTCAAGAAAGAATGGCAAATTTCTGAGGTATTTAACTAAAGGGTTTTATTGTGGGGAACGTGGGAATAAAATCAGACCAAAGTTTGAGTGCCTTCAGTAGTTTTACATGTAGAGTTTCTTCCTATCTGTTGCTGTCTTAAGCTTAAGAGATAGTTACACCTGGTAACTGTGTGTTTATATTGTTAAAAATGAATGCTGTCCACTGTCTGTACAAGAAGTGAATTCCAGCTGTTTCCATACAGATTTAGTCATCACCACCCTGACTTTACCGTTGCAGTGGTTTTGGTTTGGTTTTGGGTTGGTTTTTTTTTTTTCTTTTCAGTATGCAGGAATCTAAGCACAACCCACACATTTCTGACTTAGAACAGTAATAACATGATGTGCCCGAATCGGTCCCAGAGAAATGAAGTGCTTATGTAGTTGAAGGTCCTCGATAGATGAAGAAAGCTTTCGCCTTAGCAGACTCATGTCACCACTGTAAGCTGTTTTTCTGTTCTTGGAAATGGTGCGTTATTTATGAGTGGGGACCTACCACCTGTGTACTTTAACTATAAACCATTTACAATTCTTTTTGAATACGTTACCCACTTTCTGCAGAAGTTCACCCTAGAACCGCAGCAGCCCAAGGCAAAGGTGGCTAAGCAGGCAGGTTCTCGCATCAGAAGGTCACCTCGCCCACTGACCAGAGGCTGACTCTTCTGTTTTTACTGAGACCTTCTGCAAAAAGCCTGTGCTTTGTCTCACACCCCTTTCGGATGGGAAGACCCAGAGCACAGTGGCCTTTTCTTGGGACTGCTATTGGTGGATGATACACCAGTTATCCCACGAATGGAAAATGAGATGGTAACGTGAACCAAATGGCGTGAGATAAGGCGAAAGGTTAATGGATTGGTGTTAGTACTGTATTCAGGACACCCAAAACATGCTGAAGAATTGCTGACATTCCCTCATTTTACGTGATCTGTTCATAAAAGTTCCTGTTAAGTTTATAAAAATATTTCTAACACCAGAAAATGCTGTCCATATTTGTAACATCATGTTTCAGTTTGTTTGGGTGTGGTTTTTTTTTTTTTTAGATGTGGTGAAGAGTTACGGGGAACAAATGGAAGTGTAAAATACTTTCATATTAAAAAAAAGAAGTCTTCTAATAAGCAACAGTTTTCATTTGTAAAAGATCATGTGGCATTGTATAAAAAGGATTCCATGTCTGTTGATGACTTAAAACTGTAAAGATCATGTAATGTTAAAGATACCTATTTTCTGACAGTGCGGTGGTCAATTTCACTTTCTTCATGTTGTGATATATTCTGTTTCTTTTAGATTAGTGTATTTGCTGATTACTTTGTGTCAATACTGAATTCTTCTCCTAACTCCAGCTCTTGTAGCATGCCTTTTAATAAATGTTATTACAGTTGTATTCTATTAAATTTTCTTGTGTTCTTGTCTATTGCTTTGTGTTTTTTCTTGTCTTATAATTATGTGGCTAATAATGTCTTATTTTCTGTTGTGGTTTTTTATGCATACGTGGCTGTATAAGCAAAAGCTTTTCATATTAAAAGTATTTTAAGAGGACTAATGCACATCTTCAACAACAGTTGCACTTCAGCAGCACCTAGAAGGGTAGAAATTCTCATTTTCAGTAGGATGGGAATCTGTCTTACAGCCCTGAGCCAATACAGCAGTTGATGACTGCTTCATTCTTTGAGACAGGGATGAGAGACTTCAAGCCTCGGGGCCTCATCAGTGAGAATAGTTTTTTCTTTTTTACCATGCTGTACTCTTTTCTAGCCTTATGATTCAAGTTCATATGATTGCACAAATATTTAAAAAAATTGAAGCAGTAGCTGGAAACGATG